AAGTCGCCCGCTAGGATTACCGGGATGCCTGTCGGTAATTTATCTCTCAAAGATTCCAAAAATCTCTGACGGGACGGCGGATCATTAGGGGCGTACACATTCAAAATGCTCACCACTTCCAGCTCCAGCATAGCCAAAAGATATACCCACCTACCTTCCTCTTGGTCTGCAGCCCAATTGAGCATTTCTAGCTTTGTGTTGGGGGGGAGCCAGATTGCCACGCCTCCGCTGCCTGGCCTAAGGGCATGAGCCCTATAGGCTTGGTACGGCCAAATCTCCCTGTGTATGTGGTTGTGTTCCGGACTGTCCATAAGGTAAGTTTCTTGCAGGCACACCACGTCCAGCCAGTCCCTTCCGTCCACGCCCTTTAGCTGATCCACTATTGTCTGTCTTTTGGGTAATTTTGCTGAGACCAGTCCATTTACGTTCAAGGATCTCAGGTCCAGGTCGGTCTGACGCTTACCTGCCTTTCAGGCTCTGTCTTTGCCATATAATGCATCCACGACATTCATCTTACTGGTTGGACCTTGCATTGTCAGAAAGAAATGTTTTTTTATTTTTTTATTTTTATTTTTAATGGAAAGCCATGTTTCTGTATCCAGCACGCCACCCTTTTGTAGCGTGTCATTCCTCACCAGTTTGATTAGGAAGCCCCTGATGTCCTCTGCCGACCAGAGCTCCTACGGCTTAATCTTCAACAGTTGGAGGTCTTTGAGGGTCTCCTTGTCCTGCCAGCGCATATCCTCTGTTAAGGTGTCATCATATCGCAAGTATATATCTTTGGACGCCAGCCTGTGATGACCATATGATATTACCAGGGCCGCTGTAGCTCCTTTGGGGAGCAGATCTTTGGTTAGTTGGGAGATCTCCATCCCCCGAAGTGACAATCCTTTCCCCCACGACGTGAGTGTTAGGAACAAAGATGAACACCCCTTCATGGTTATCTCGCCATGTATTGCCCCTGGGGGGACCGCTAGCCCTACTTCCCAGTGGCCGTCCTCTACTCTTTTCCTGACAGGTAGGACCGCAAAACCTTTATTGATCGGAAGCGGGTCCTGCGGCGCCGTCTCTAGCAGGAATCTGAGTTTTTGCCTCTTACTGGTTAGCACAGGCTCCGGGGGTTTCGAGGGAGGGGATTCCTTTTCCTTTTGTGGGGTGTTGGGATTCCAGGCTGCCAAGGCCATACATAGGCCTGTCGGTGCATGTTCTCCCTCTTCCTTCCCGTTGCCTGTTTGAGTCAGAGTCCCGCTTTCATCTTGCGGCTTGTTCCCCCTTCTCCCTCCGTTCTCAGTCCCCCCTAGCCACTCATCTTTGTCCTATAAGATTTGGTTCCCTTCCGTCCCTACCCCCCTCTCTGCCTCTTGCGGCTTCAGTGGGTCTGTCTGCTCTTGTCTTTCCTTTTCTTTTGGCTGTTCCCCTGAAGGCTCTTTCAACCCCGCGGCCTCTTCCTCCAATAAGTTTTTCCTTTCATCCTTTTCTGAGGCTTCTTTCTCTTGTCCGTTCATTTTGGCGTCCTTTCTTCCAGGCTCCATCTCAGGTTCTTGTCCGTTCATTTTAGCTTCCTGTCTTCCAAGTTCCTTCTCAGGTTCCACGGGGGGTCGAATGGGGGGATGGAAGCGACAGAGAACAATACTGAGGAGTTTTTTGCAGATATTGTGCCAGTTGGTTCCCTCGGGTAGCTCTTGGACCAGGGCCTTAGGCAGACTTGCGCTGCTCTGCAGCATGGGAATCAGCGCCCTGTATACCCCATCCCAAAAATCAGTATCCCCATCCCCGAATTTTGTATGCAGACTACCCATCAGCCAATCTGCCACCGCTTGAAGGCTCATTTCAGAATCTGCTGTTCGTTCGTTCATCTCCGCATCAGCCATATCCACGTCAGGCGGTGCGGGGGGAGACGGGGGGGGCAGGGCCTCGGGGGGTATTCCTTTCAGCCAACTTTTTAAGTTTCCCACCAATACCCCAGGTTTCACCAAACCAGAGATTGGAATTTCCTTCGCCCTTCCTCCTCCAGTCTGCTTGAATATGGTGACGGAGGGACGCTCTGAATGCTCGCATGAAATCCCAGTTACTTTGTCGTAGGCTTTTACAAAATATATTGAATTTATAGCTGTATTAAAATTTGTGCTATTCATGAGATCAATAGGTTGTGAAATAAAATTTGGGGCTTCAGAAGATCGTTTGGGTACGGAAACAGCTACATCACATGGAGCTACCTGTGGTGCACCGGGTTAGAGGTCTCTACTACCGTTCCCTAAATTAAACATGGTAAAGCTATACTCCTAGGGGCTCCCTCTCTCTCTCTCTCTCTCTCTCTCTCTCTCTCTCTCTCTCTCTCTCTCTCTCTCTCTCTCTCTCTCTCTCTCTCGGTTCTCTAGCTCGTTTTGCTAGGGTGGCTGGGGGTAACTGGGGGGCTTTGCTCCTCAATGTTTACCCCGACTTGGGTATGTACCTTAGTTAGAAAGAAGGTCATGTAATTAATCTTTTTACGGATGTAGGCAAAGGTGCGGGCCCTGTGCTTTATTCCGATTAATGGGTTGACGAAAGGACCCGGTGGTTCCGATAAAAGGTTTTTTATTTTTTGCTTTCTTATGCGTTTCGTTTTTTTCTGGATTTTTTTTTCTCGTGAGAATAGGACTATGTGATGTGTGCAGTTTTTTCCTGAATACGAGTCGGTTTGATATAGCAAATCCGGTGTTCGGGGTCGGTCTGCCATATCTGAGCGTCGGGGGCAGTGCGGGGGCTCTGCGTGTAACATAGGATGAATTTTTTTTTTGCGGTATGACGAAGGTGGTGCGGCGCACGAAGGAGATCTTTATACGAGGTAGGTGAGTGCACCCGCGACTTCATGGAGGGTTGCTCCTTCTTCGCTGACGGATAGTCCGAGGGAGATTGTTCCAAGTTTGGTTGTGTCAAAACCTTTGCGGGAGACGAATATTGGTGGCAGTGTGTAAGGGGAAGCTGGTAAGCTGGGAGGAGATACATGGCCGAGATATGGAGTCGTTTAGTGCTATGAATGTTTCCATTTTTGAGGTTTAGATGATATATCGAAGACGTAATGTGCTGCTGGGTACAGTGCTCCAAGATAGAGTGAGCTATGAGAGAGTGCGAGGGAGACGGGTTTATGAGAACAGGGTGTGTTTTGAGGTTTTTGACGTTTTTTGAGTTTTTTGAGGTGGTCTGGAGACTATATAATGCCGAGAGAGGGATGGCCTTAACCCTCTCTCACCATGCAACGAGTTTTGCTGGTATATGGCTGTGTCGTTCCCCGTACGTCGTACGGGGGGTACCCGTACAGACCCTACGGACGGACGGACGTACGCCCGTACGGCCGTACGGACGTCTCCCGTACGAGCGTGCTACGGCCCAAAGGGGGGGTGCTAGGGGGGGTTTAAGTTGATGGGGTGTTGGGGGGGGTTGCTGGGGGCACACGAGTGTTGTTAAATTTTTTTTTTTTTTAATTTTTTGGTGAAAAATGAGAAAAACAAAAGGACTGCCCGCATCCCCGCGGAGCTCAACCTGGCAGGCAGTGGCGCGTGGCAGGGCTGTTTTGAAGGGCAGGCCGAAGCAGCCCTTCCCCGCGCCACTACCTGCCAAGCTGAGCCCCGCGGGGACGCGGGCAGTCCTTTTTTAGTTTCTCATTTTTCACCAAAAAAAAAAAAGGGACTTCGTGTGGACTGGGCGGGCCTTGGGGCCGTCGTGTGCTTATATATGAGGTTGTGCCATCGTTGTGGGCGTCAGCATCAACACTTTTTGTTGTAGCCCACATTTGTGTTGTCGCCCACGCGACAGTGGTGTTGGAGGCTGTTCACGGCAACGCACACACACACACAGAGAGAGAGAGAGAGAGAGAGAGAGAGAGAGAGAGAGAGAGAGAGAGAGAG